TCACTTATTAATTGAAGAAATTCATTATGCAAGTTCAAAAGTTATAATTGCTTTCACGTTCAAGCGTAATTTCTTTTTTGAATTTGTTAACAAATATTTGGATTTTATCCTGAGACATATATCACAATTGTATAATCTATGTAACGCAAATGTGTTCTTTTTCTTACGAAATGCCTTTGTATATATATTCTTATTTTCTTCTTTATTTTCCTTTTAATGTTGATTAAAGAACCAATGATTTATTATTTCCTAAATAGTTCATTCATGAGTTATGTGATAACGACAAATAATCATATTCATGCTGAAATATTGCTAATATTTTTTAAGAACCTATTTTTTCCATTATTTTAATGTATGGATATTAATAAAGAAATATTTACAAGTTCAACGTAATTATTATTTATGATCGCGCGGAGCGCGGACAAATTACCTAGTATATATATATGAAGGGGGAACATAGAGAAGGTGATGTGACACTTCTCTGTGGCCTCCATTCATATTAATCTTTTTTTTTCAAATTTTAAATGTCTAAATAATTTGATTAGTGTTTTATTCTTTATCTATAATTGCTGTAATTAAATTAAATTATATTAAATTGATTAGTAAAACATTCAACCCTCCCTCTCCCCCCACGTCTAAGATCATGACTATTTCATTAAATCTTCTTATACAAATTCTTCAACTTTTCATCTTCTCTTTTAATTATTATTTATACTCATTCATGAGATATGACATTAATCGTTTTTCCTATCTTAAAATCAATTGCAGAGGTGAATTTATTGTCTCCTTTCATAATTCCTATAAATCTCTAACTAATGGAGACATATTTATTGTTCACCAATTGCTTCATTTTGATGAGATTGTTTAGGCAATTTTCAGGTACCATTTTATTTTTTTTGTTTTTGTTTGAAAATAATAATATTATATAAGATTTTAATAATGATATTTTGTATCCTACTTTTTTCAGTATCATTTTAGATGACTATTTTTTCAACTGGTTTGCATAAATTTTCGAATTTATTTGAAATCTTATATTTGTATAATTGTATTTTGGCATGTTGTCATATTTGCTTTATTCTTGTGTTTATTTCTATTATAATGTTGTTATTTATTTAAATTTTGATTTCTCAATTAATGAGTTAAATTTCTTCTCGGACTATTTTCATATTAATGTGTAAAATATCATTTTTTTCTAATTCATATTATATTAGGTTATGGATTATCATAATATGCATTGTTCTACTTCTTTTATTAATGTGGATTTTAGGGACAAGTACAAAAAAAAATTGGTTAGTGATGGAGTAATCCATTTTTCCTTGAGATTTTAGTAGCTTTAGTTAATAATTATAGCTCATGCACGATTCTGCTCGATCTCATGTTTATTTATAATTTATGTTTACTTCTCTTTTAATATCATTTTTATTTAGATTTTAATTTCTTAATTGATAAATTAATTCAAAAAATTGAAATATTTTCAAAAAGATTAAATATTATATCCTTAAGATTCTTGAATTTGCTTTATTCTTACTATTTTCTTTCTTTCTACTTTACGGCAACATTTATCTATTATAATGATTCATGCTATGATAAATTAGGACTGCAAAAGCAAAGAAATCAATTAATCAAATATTGTCATTTGAATTGAAAATTGGGAAGAAAAGTTTACGTTGCTAATCATTTATAGGCGGTGAATTTAGGAGGAAGGTATATATATATATATATATATATATTTCTTGGTCATATTATTGCCTTTTTTAGTTTAATAACATAGTTTTTTAAAATATGGTATTAAAACTTCAAATCATCTGAATTTTAATAATTCTCCTAAGAGTCATTTAGAAGAAATTTGGAAAGAGAAGAATAATAATTGTTTGTCACTAATATTGACTTTGTTTTCTCTATGCATACGTATGTTGTTGATTAATTGCAATTTGATGACTTTTCTTCATAATATATAATTGAAAAATATTGTTAAAATTCTTAAGTATATGATCTTAATATTTTTCTTTTATTTCAAATAGTTTCTCTAAAGGAGAGGTTCCGAGGCTAAAATAATCGTGTTTTTAAAATAAAAACTTTTTTTTTGTAGTATATTTTTCTTCAGCAAGATCACTAACAATTGCATTTGCATCAGAAAATGACTTGTCATAAGCATTTATTTTATTACTTAAAGTGTATATTATAAAATCGTGTTAAAACGAGTTAGAATTTAGTATTTAATTTATTTGAAGATTGAAACTAAAATATTATTTGAAAAATCATGAATCTAATATTTTTTCATACCGCGCAAAGCGCGGCCATGTTTACTAGTTAATAAGTATGAGGTGGCATACAAAAGTTGTATGAACCTTATTTCATAATTTGACAAGTGAATTATTGAGTCTCATTTTTAGAAAAATGGACTAAAGTTCCTTCTCTCTTACTTTTTAACTTTTCAACTTCTTGTACACACTCATACTTTGCGGTGGTCCTATTACCCCTGAACTTTTTTTTTACATATTATCTCACCCTTATTTGCTGACATGTCGAAGAAGGTAAGAACAACTCCCTTAGGCGCGTAAGAAGAGAAAATAAAACGTCAAAAGCTGAAGAAAAGTACACATGTGAGTCCAAATCTCATTCTTTCCCAAAATCAAACTCTCTTTTTCTTCCTCTTTTTCTCAATTTTCAATTGTATATTCTTTCATTTTCTCCCAAATTAGCTTAAAACTTGAATTTACTTGTCAAAGCAAGTTTCAATTTCTAAAAAGCTTGAAGCTTTAGGGCTTGTAATTTCTCCGATTTCATAATTAGGGTTCAAAAATTGTTCTTCAAATTCATCGTTTTTTGCTTTGTTGGGGTAAATAATGACAAATGCGGACTTGAATAAGCTTTCATAGTTAGGGTTCAAAAATTGCTCTTCAAATTCAATTGGGACGAAATCTCAGATCATGAAGAGAATGGGGGTGAATATGGAGTGATCAAAAAAAGGTTAGAGTTTACAGAAAGAAAGAGGAAAATGAAAAGATTAAGGAAAATTTTAGAGTTATGGGGTTCATTAAATACTTGGCAGCGCATGTCTACAAACATTTTATTATATCTGGTTTATGTGGACATGTCAGTAAATAAGGGTGAGATAATATATAAAAAAATTGTGTCATGGGGGTAATAAGACCCCTGTGAAGTATGAGTGTGTAGTTGGGAATCCGGCTATAGATTGGGGGAAGGAGGGGGGGGGGGGTTTGGGTTTGGTCATATTCTCTTTTTTTTTTAAACCATTATTTCAAATTTTGCTATTTTCCTTTATCTTTAAATAATTTTAAAAGTATAAAATTTAGCTTAATTCATCGTACTCCTAACATTTGGTATTATTTTTCTATCCTATATTAACTATCTAATTTACAAAAATAATTATTAAAAGTATTTATCAATTAACAAAATTAAATATCGTTTTTTATTCATTACCCTAGCAATTATTCTTTTTGAAAGTATAAAAAATATATCTTAAAGAGTAAATTAGTAAATTATAATTTTTATCAATAATTTCTTAAAGAATGTGTAAAAAAAAGTAAAATAACTAATACGAAGAACGAAAGGAGTACAAAATCAATTTTTTCTCTTCTCAATAATTTCATAATTTTCCAAACACTTAAACATATCCAATATTCTCCAACAAGAAAATATAACAGAAAGACCATCTGTAATCTTGACAAATAATTACATAAGTTTTGTTTCTATTTTCATGTAATCCAAAATTAAAAATCATCCATAAGCTCCTACATACATACATACTCTCTCAATTTATATGATATAATTTATTCTTGAAGTTCAAGCTATGTGAAATTTAATTAATATTTTCAAAATATTTTTTTTTATTATTATATTAACATGATAAGATGCAAAATATAACCTTCTCACTAAGTTGCAATTCAACCTAAAATATTAGAAGTTGCAATTCTTATCATGTTAATATAATAATAAATAATATTTTATAGCTTGAATTTCGAGAACAAAAAATATTAAATTACTAGAGAGAGAAAAATGATTTTTTTAAAATTATATATTGATTTTATTGATTTACAAGTAATTTTAAATAACTATTTGTTTTGTCCTAAAAATAATACAATTGATTTTGTATGAGGTTAGGAGGACAAATCTTAATTTAACTTTTTTGAAATAATACAATTGATTTTGTATTTGACTTTAAATCTAAATTATTATTTAATATATTTATCTCTATTTTATTTTTAACAAATGAACATTAAGAATTATCAAAACAATAAATAAAATAAATTACTAGTAATTTAGGACATTACTATTTTTCTATTGAAGAATTGGAGAAATAATGCGCAAAAGAGATAATAAATTACTAATTTTAGGATATTATTATTTTTAATGTGTAATGAAGTATATTTATGTTACAAAGTACTCTACATAGATAGAGGGGTTAAATAGAAAGAAGGTGGGGTTGAGGAGAGAAGAGAAATGGAAAAGTTATAAAGATATGGACTGACAATATAAATTTTTATCTATTAAAATAATCTCTCATACAACTATGACATGGTATGCCTCAACCACCTTAAATTTTTTCCGAAAAGTGATAAATGTATACAATTTTATCATCGTGTGTTTATTCTACACATGATATACTCTATCCCTTTGAATGATGTGCCTCAACTTCAGCCTTGTTTTGAGACCTTAGTAAGGTGTTGGAAGAGGCATCATTGTTGATCTGAAGATGTAATATTGAAAATGCAGCAGTTGGATAAATTCAAAGGCGTCTTCCATTTTAAGTGAAACATGAACAGCCATATCTTCTTTTTTGGAAATAAAAGTGTCGTTTCATCAACCCTTGCGTTACAATGAGAAAATACATAAATGACTTTCCTGATCAAATGGAGCGCCACATCATGCGGCATACATACATATTCATAGATTGCTTGCTAATCAGTCGCCTACACCTCTATTTCAAACTAGAAGCAAGCACTTGGGCAAAAACAAAGAATGAAATTTAGGTGTGTAGTAATCTGTTTGTTGTGATCCACAAAAGAAATCTACCATGTGTTTCCATTACACATTACTATGCCCGTAAGTACATGTGTTTCAAAACAATGAACGAAGCAGCAAATGCACAAGGTTTTAGTACTAACACGCATACCTATTCTGATTAATAAAGGCAGGGATTCTGCAGTGGAACACAAGCTTTTCTACTAAACTAGCTGCTCTTCTTGCACAGGGATTTACAGAAACAACTGATGATTAAAGGAAAATGTCATGCAACAGGAATTTTCGGTTCCCCTAAATTTACAAAGGCCTGTGCTCGAGCCATGCGTCCCAATGCCGCATCCCAAGAGACAAGATGATTCATAAACACATTAACATAGTTTGCTTTATCATTCTGTGAAAACAGAGGAAACAAAGACACGCATTAGAAAAAAATCTCTGTGCAGAAAGAAAGCACGAGGGAAGAACTGTGGGTTACCTTGTAATCCAGATAATAAGCATGCTGCAAAATAGGAAGAGCAAGTATTAATGAATATCTTTATTCAATATAAAATTGTATTAGCACGGGAGTGCAAATGCTAAAAGGTTTGTGAAAGGGTACATGGGGAAACAATACTGCCTACGAACTCACCTCCCACAAGTCCAAACTGATCAGCGGCTGCAGAATCAAATAGATACCAAATGAAAATGCAAGTACTGGGTAATCAAGAAAATGTAATTTCTAAGAAAGTGTTACAAATTACAGAACATTAGCAAAAAGAATCCTCACGATATCATTCCACACAAGAGGATTGACAGCATTTGATGTTTTAATAATTGCAAGACGCTTCTCCTCTCTGCTCACTGAAATAATCAAATTGAAGGTGTTACTAAAGAACCTTGCATGGACTGTTCAAATGTGGTCGACAATGGCTATAAAACATCCCAAAAGATGAATCAGGAGGTTCATGCGATGAAAACTTTAGGGATCTAGAGGAATATTCAATATTTAAAGGTTGCAAAAAATGAGCATGTATAGACGCCGGTTGATGACTAGAAATAACAATTTTGCTAAACCTTTAATCTACCAAATTGTCATGATTATACGAGAATTGAGTCGACACACAAGATGAAGTCCAGAACTTCATTCTGAACTTGGTCTTTACACACTCTGTACAAGAGACTGAGGCCAAAATCTAAGGTTGATCTCTCTCATTTTTTAACTGTCAAACATACTGAATTAAAATTAATGACGGGAACAGGAAATTTAATGTACGAGTTTGAGAAACAAAAAGCACAAGTTATCCTTATGAAATGGTTTAGTTATACGACTGACCACAAGCTGTCCCTCAATGAAGTTGCTTATTGATTTGGTTTGGAGAAAAACATATACAAGGAGAAGTGAAACAACGAGTACAGAAGCACAACAATTCTAGTTCCCAAAATACTACAGCCTTTTCATATACAAGCAAGTAAACAAGCATAAAACAGATATAGAAGATTGGCTATATTTAGCAACTTACAGACGAGCCAAATCCACCCAGAGCCAAATAATGTGAGAGCTGCTTCGATAAACTTGTCCTTAAAGATGGTAAATGAACCAAAATCCTTGTCAATCTGCTGAAGGAGTCCCAATTTAGGTATGTCACCACCTCCCGGTTGCATGGATTCCCAGAAGAAATCATGATTCCAAACCTGGGATAAGAAGATCCATAAGTATTGTCCTTGTTAGAATTCGGTTCACAGAAACTAGGCAAATGAGAAGCTCAACTTCTTTTTTATTGGAAAAATTCAAAAAACTAAAAGAGAAAAACTGAATGACATAATATTTTGGGAAATCAGAGATATGAATCTGATAAAAATTGAATGGTTCTTTATCAAAATCCAGCTCATAATATTTCCATTTTATACGCCACTTGTTATTGGTAGCACATAATAGTGAAGTTTACATATGTAAATACAAATCCAAAAAATTATTCCTATGTCTGAAATATGGCTAAGCCCCTCAGTCACCTACTTGGAATATCTCCACCAACATATAGATGATTAAGAGATTGACAAGACATGTGCTGATTTGAAGCACTTAGAGGAAGAGAAGCATACGAATGTTTTAGCTGAATTTAGGACAAATGGAAAATCTTATTAACTATACTGTTATGAAATTTAAATACCACAAAGGCGAGATTCATAAACAATGTAATAGAAGCATGGTGTATTACCTGGGCAGCATCAGCGAATTCAGGTAATGGATTACCATTGTTGTATGTTAGCTTGATAAGTTCGTCCATGGTGCATCCATAAAATATGTCATTCTTTTCAATTTGTTTGTTAAGAGATTCAACATAACCACGATGATGCTCTCCCCAATGTATCTCAACCATACTTTGGCTCATATATGGTTCTAGTGCATCCTACAAAAACAACAGGAGGGGTCAGTCACCATATTATGTTTGACAAACAAAAGAAAACACTTACGAGCTTATAAGGTGGGGTTTTAAGGCCATAATAAGCAGAAACGCTTCTCTTCTGCCTCAAACCCTGCAATGTAAACACAAACCAGAATTAAGAATTAGTAATACATAAACAGAAGAGCACGCTGTAGAGTCCAAAACACCTACAACATTTGATATTCTACACGGTATATTGAATTGCCTCCACAAATCACTAGTCACCGACGAACTTGAAGTGGAAAGACGATTACAACAGCACCAACTCATTTCTTTACAATTTCCCCTTATCCAACTTAGGTTAGGTTAGGTTAAGCCCCCAAATATTCAGTTTCTCTTTACTCACTCCTCCCCATACCAATTTATATTATACTCCCTCCCTCCTCTTTTCCGAGTCAAAATAATTTTAATTTAAAAATATTAGTCCCAAATTATTTGGTCACTTACTAAATTAACTAAGATAAAATTAATTAAATTTATTTCTATTTTATCTCTATAGTTAATATCATCATAATGCTTAATTTTTCATAATTTCTTTTTGAAATCTTAAACAAAATTAAAGTTCTTAGAATTTATTTTTCCAAAGAGTTCATTAAATATTTAAGAAAAAATGGTCAAAAATATCCCTCAACTTTAATTTATTAGTTGATTATACCTTTATCATTAAAACAAAGTTAATTATACCCTCACCGTTATCAATTTCATCATTTTTATCCCTCAATTGACCCAAATTTTAAAAAAAGACCCATTCCTCATTTTAAACCCAATGCCCCGACCCTCTAACGCATAACCCATATATCCCACTGATTTCAACCCCAATATTCAATACTACAAAAGAAATCTCTTTCACAGCAAGAGAAAAGTAATTGATGATGGGTGCTTGAACAAAAAGTCGAAAAAGAATCATGCTCTGTTTTGCAATGATCAATCTAGAGAGTCGAAAGAAAGTTTTGTTGGTGAAATTGAATTCGAAATTAGAGGCGGCTGTGGAGAAAAGGATTGAGGTCTTGAATATGGTGAATAATGGGCATTGGGTTATTGGTGATGTTGCAGGTTCAATTTCAAGTGGAAGAGAAATTCTCCATCAACTTTTCTGAGCTTTTAATCTTCACTCAAAAATGCAAGATCCGTCAAATACAAATTCCATTAAGCTGCCGACGAAGACGTCATTTTCAGCTGCATTCCGTCCATCGCACCACTGACGAGCTCACTCGGAGGTGAATTTTCGGTTGGCGGAGGATCTAGATCTGGTGTCCGACCTATCAGATTTTGAATTATGGGGAAGTAATGTTGCAATCAATGGTGATCAACTGACAACTTCAACGGGAAAGGAAGTTTTTGGGGCTAATCAAGAGAAGTGTAATTCAGATTCCGAGTTCCAGGGAGTGTTGAAATTAATGGTGATGCTATGGCGGCTGAGTTCTGGGGGAGTTTTAGTACATTGGTGAATCAACAAACACTTACTAATGATTCTTTCATGGCTCTCAAGCCTAACTATGATTATTCCATTCCATTTTCCACTGGTTCTTTCTAGGTTTTTGAGGAAGAGGAGAGGGTCCAAGTACATGTACATGTATTCATGAATTTTTTTTATTTTTTTTTGGTAATTTAGCTGCTCTATCAAAATTGTTTATTGACCGGGTTGGTACGGGTTATGCGTTAGAGGGTCGGGGCATTGGGTTTAAAATGAGAAATGGATCGTTTTTAAAAATTTGGGTTAGTTTGAGTCAACTTGGGAATTTTCGTCAATTGAGAGGTATAAACAATGAAATTAGTAACGGCGATAGTATAAATAACTTTGTTTTAACGGCGGAGGTATAATCAACTAATAAACTAAAATTAAGGGGTATTTTTGACCCTTTACCCAATATTTAATTACTCTTTTGTACTCTTGTTCTCACCCACTTTAAAATACTTATACCTTTTGTATGTTCTATGTTAGAGAAAATGATCAAAATAGTCCTTAATATATAAGGATATTTGTCCTTAATATATTTTACATGATCTATATAGTCCTTAATGTATTATAAAAAGTATTCAATTTGATCCTTTGTCCTAAATATAACAAATCTCACAATTAAATTTAACGACGGGCCCACTAAACAAACCAAAACTTTCCCTTTCTCCTTCATTAGTCGCGTGAAAAGTTTGATCCAATTTTCCCCTTCCCCTTCTTCTCCAATGACCACATCGGTCTAGGTCGCCGACTCACCGACGCTCGTCCACCAACCAGCCTCTGCTCTCCACTTCTGCCCCTCCTCCACCACCCTTCTGTTCCCACTGTTTTAGCCTTAATTCAAAGTTAAGATTTCTAAAAAAATAATTTTATTGTTAACTGAAAAAATTATTTTATTTTTTTACACTGTTAATATTATTATAAGATTTAATCACATTGTTAGATTTGTTAATGTCCATAGTGAGGTCAGTGGTATATATCTGATGGTCACAATTTTTTTTTTTAACTGCTCATGTGTTTGAGACAACATTTTTCAGCACTAAAACTTGTCATATGAGGCTAATGAAGTATCAACTGAGCAAATTTTATGTTGGAGGCATTTGTAAAAACCAATTCACAACTTATATAAAATATAAGATGAACTCGATCCTTAAATATTTATCAAAAGCAAAATTCAACTATCTAAACCACACTTTTGAGAAGTAATATTTTTAAAAGTGGAAGAGGGAAGTTCCTCCTATGGCTGAGGCAAAAACACCCATAAGCTCTTCAAAACAGAGGTTTTGACGGGAGGACTAGAGAATGAAGGAGAAAGGGAAATATTTTGGGTGGTTTTATTTTTCAGTGAGGTCCAACGTTAAACTTAACTCATGTCCATGTTATATTTAGGACAAATGATCAAATTGAGTACTTTTTATGATACATTAAGGACTATATGGATCATGTGAAATATATTAAGGATCAAAACAAAGTAATTCATATACATTAAGGATCATTTTGATCATTTTCTCTTCTATGTTATCATAAATTATCTTGATATCCATCAATATGAATAAATGGTAAATTAGTTAAATTAATTATTTTATTTATGATTTCTTAATTATTGCGTAAAATGACAAGTTATCAGTTATTATAGCGAAGGGGGGAAGAAAATTTATGTGTGAAATTTCAATTTTTTTTTTTAAAAAAGTAAAGTTATTAAATTTCAAAATTTGAAAGAGAAAGTAGCATTCTGTTTTGGAAATGAACAATTTTAAATTTTACAAACCTTTTTTTTCTTTATTTCCACTCATCTTCCTCGTAGTTTTATATTATACTAGTTTCACAGCACGTGCGTTGCACGTGTGTATCGTATATATAGTATATGATGTTGTAAAATATAATTAATATTACTAAATTAAAGCTTTTTAGTAAATAATTAACTGAACGAACATAGGAAAAGTGTTTTTAAATTATTAATATATATTGTCATAGAGTTACTTGTATTTTGAGATCAAAATGACCAAATATTATTAAAACATTTCAAAATATATTAAAAATTTAAATATGAGAGAAAAAGACATTTCTTCAATGATATTATTTCTTACTTCACTCAATTTTGTAAACAAATCTAACCAACAAAATAAAATAAAATGTCCATTCAAAAAATGTCATCAATAGCCTTTCCTCTTGAGGTTATGAACATAAATGATGTACATCATTTAAGTACAAATTTTGTCTTAAATATTCATACTTGAAATTAAGTATGTGCATGACACTAATAAAGATTACCATAAAAAAAATAAATTACCATAAGTATTTCAATATTTTATCTTTTATGTAACAAAAATATTATTACTCAATTAATATTTGAGTAAGACTATCATAGAGAGGTAATTTTACCAAAAAAAGTGTACTTGGTTGTTATCATGAATGATAATTATATATACTTCAGTAGAATAATTTAATTTTAATATATGAATAACATCACTTATGGTGAAAAATATTTCATTTAATTAAGTTTCTGTCTTATCATTGTGGAATTGTAGTCTTCTCCTTTTTTTTGCCGCATACATAGTATCTTATAGAAGTTGTATAATGATATAAAATATTTAAATTTTTCAATAATAATATTTAAAGTATTATTTATAGAATCATTAATTTGATTTAAGATCATTTTATGATCAATCGCTATTTTCTTATCTATTTATATATAGCTAGTAATGAGTGTATCTTGTGACATAAAGAAAAATTATATGGAACAATACATAGTCAATGAAGAAGGAAGATGAAAATATATGTTCATACTGTATTCACTCTAGTGTTCCATTTGATTTAAATCTATTGCCACCAACACTTTACTTTCTCTGTTCATTTTTACATACATATCTATTAAAAATAATTATTATCATGGCTATGATATCATATTATAAGTAAAAGTGAAAATTTATTTTTGAAATAGTGAATTTAACATTAAAATTAATAATTCAATGGACTACGTTGATACCCATTGTTTTAGAAAAATTAGGAAGAAACTCCTTCATTTGAGGGAAAAGAATAATAATAATAAAAAAAAACAAAGAAGAAATATCTTTTTTTTTTAATTTACAAAGAAGAAATATCTTACCTAAATCATATGCCTCTTTTCATATATGTTTAATATTATTGTCTCTCCCACAACTTTTCGTTACTGTTAACTCATGAAAATGGTAAGAAAAAATACGATTGTGATTTGATGAATGATTTACTACAATTTTTTCACCAACTCTTTCTTATGAGTACCTCGAATTTCGAACTTAATCAATTTTTGCAAATTACAATTGAGATTTTTTAAGAAGAAGAAGAAGAGTAGAAAACTTAAAGAAATTGTAGTTTAAAAGTGTGAGGAAATCCCTCTATTTATAGCTACCAAATAGTAGTATGAATATGTGTTAATTGTGCCTTATCAGAAAAGTCAAAACCTTTCAAAAAAGTCACTGCTTATCAGAAAAGTCACAACCCTCTAAAAAAGGCACAACTCATCAGAAAAGGCACAATCCTTTATAAAAGTTACAATCTTTCGAAAAAATCGCAACCCGTCAAAAAAGTCACAATCCTTTGGAAAAGTCACAATTTATTGAAAAAGTCACAATCCTTTAATTTGAAAAGGTATCTATTTTCAATATAATTAAATTAATTAAATTAATAAATAAAATAAATTGAGTATTTTTAATTGGGGCTATTATAGTAATTCAATATTCAAGTCTGATAGTTCATGTTTTTAAGGTAGTGTGTATATATATATATATATATATATAGATTTACCTCTCTCTACAATAATTTTTTTAATATATTTATTATTAATATAAAAATTTATGCCTTGACCAAACTGCCCCTTTTAATGCACTCTTTTTATTTATTTATTTTGTTGATATTCTTCAAATTCTATTTATTGTCAAAAAATT